TGGCTTCTTTCTTTTGGCGATCTGATGGATCTGTGAAATACTCGATTCCCCAGTGCATAAAAACAACTATGACATCTACTTTTCCCTGTTAGAAAAAAGGAATGTCCGTAAATGACTCACCAATTTACCAACCAATTAATTAATTGGCAACCAGTCAAACAAACCGAATCACAACCAACKTAACAACTTAACAACTTTCCAACAGGAAGAGGGAGGGAAACACAAAGTTAACAAACTTTTTTCAAAACGAAGCACAAAAGGTCTACAAGGTAACAATCAAAAAACCTTGAGATCGTTGACGTCTCTTGTGGCAGCTTCATCACTATAAAGGGCTGGACCACCTGTAAGATTTCCTCTTTTCTCTACACAATGAAAGTAAACTTTTCCTTCAGGAGTCAACTCCTTGCGATAAGTAGAACAGTAGCCAAGAAACCCGATTCTTATCCCATTGACCTTAACCAATAGCGGGGTCTGAAATGAAATCTCTGYATCAATATTGTCTTTGACACAACAGAGTAGAATTACAAATCAGATTTCCATTCGCAAAATCCTAATATTCAATTTAAATTTGTTCTACATCTGCAGACCCTTCTGCTTATGAAATTAGGTTTCTTTAGTATGCTGCGGATTTTTTCTGTGGATTTATTAGAAACGTTTTCCCCCTATCCCCTACCCCAAGTAAAGGTCTATCGTTGCTACGTGTACGTCATTACTCTGATCCTTAAAATTGGTCATTCTTTGGTAAGTTTTTACCTAGATTCAAGTTCAGGCCTCACGCGATTTGATGTAAGGGTCAGATTTTCTCATTAGTTTTACTAGCTGTAATAGTTCTCTATTTTGTTTTATGTGTGGCACTAACTTGTGGTTTGTCGTCTTCTTTGCGACCGTATGTGTAACCAAAGGCCTGGACACTGATTTGGCTCAGCAAGTGTACTGAGTAGTTTACAGGCCTTGTTCCGTAGTCATCGTAGTGGTTGTTAGCAAGAGTAACGATATCAATTCCTGCAAAGCTAAAAAAAGAGAGCCAAACCTAGACTGTTTCCTTTCACTTGTATTTGATAAAGCATCGAGAAGTGACTATGAGCATCACTGTTTATCTGTGATTGGATAATTGAATTATCACGTCATACTACCATTACCAGACACCCTTGCACACCTTGCATTTATTCAGTTCATTATAGYAATTTTCTACTATTCTCATGAGAAAAAGGCAAATCTAAATAAAAAAGAAAATTCGCAAGTCATTTTGGTAGCGAAAGTTAAATAGCGGCTTYTAGACAACATTCCCATTTAGCCATCATACAGCCTGGTACATCCCAAACATTTGCTAAATCAAGGGTGAGTAGCCATGGCTTTGAAATTTTACCTTAGTGCTTGGATGCTATCAGGTTCTGCACTCAACAGAGGGGAAAACTTTAGCTGGGCATCATGTCGTATGTCACTGTTGATTAAAGGAGATTCCAAGTTGGCGATAGCAAGGTCAGCCTCTCTGAGAAACGACGCGACTTTCTGGAAGGTAGTGTTGTATTGGCAAAAACCCTTATTGTGAAAGTATCTRACTGCACTGTCGAAGCTTATGTCTCCAATAAAAGCCAAGGTAACTACACTCGATGCTAAAATAATAAATAATATATCTGATAATATGATAATATAAAAATATATCTGCTAATGTATAACCATAAAATTTATTTAGTAAAAGCTAATCCTAATAATTATACATTTAGGGTCGATTTTGATTAGTCAAAACAAAAATATATCGCGAGATGTTATTGGACCGTGAAGTGATATCGCATCGCATCACTTAACTGATTTGATTTTTTTCATGGCACTTGATATTTCACGGATATCGACCCTAAATGTTAAAACAAATTATATCAAATTTCAACACAAGAGCCCTTAAAGAGCCCTAGAAATGGCGATAACCGTTAACTAAACTTCAAAATCAAAAATCAATTTTTAAATTTCAATTGGCATTTCAGTGGACGAAGAGCTCACTGTTTGGAAATGCCACTGTAATCCCCATTTGTTTTTATTTCTATTTTTCAAACTGACGACATAAAAAGTTTACAACGATAGCGAAACAGAAAAAGGACATCGAAGAAACAAGAGTTAATTATTGAAGCTATTCAGTATATTGAGAAAAACATTTYCCCCCAAGAACGAAAAATAGCTAGTACGATTTATCGTAACAGCGCGAAATGACCGTTCTACCTGTTTTTTAAGTTATCAGCTATTTATAGGTCGTAGTATTTGACTGGCTCTATCCAGTCTTTGTGTCCATAATTATTAATCACTTCTTTCTAAAATTACCAATTTAGWATTTTATAAGAAAACCGCCATATACAAAAGACCAACGAAACACGACTGCGTTTTGTTGCCAACGACATATTACAAAAGTTACTTTGATTAAAACCACAAGCAGAAAGTACAAACTACTTTAGTTTGGTTGGCAAATATAATACTGATTTGGTAAAGAAAAGTCAAAGATATAAAAGAGTCAAAGATATAAAAAGTGGTGGACCTGTTTAGAACTTAACCTGAAAAAATGCCAAGAGTTCTCAGTTTCCCACGACATGTAGATCAAGCTACTTTACTTACGTTGTTGTACTTGTCCCGWACACCTAACTGCTTTACAYAGCCAGCAAAAMAGAAAGACAAGTCTTTTGGCGAGTGAAAAACTTTTGTCCATTTTGAACGAAACCTCTTTTTTTTGACAGTTAAGAAAAACCAAAAAAATCAGGAGAGGTTATTCATTGTCCTACCCGTGATTTCGTTATAATTAGACACCTGTACATTTTGCCACTTTTACGAACAATATGCCACATGCTCTGTATCAACGGATTCATTATCTCAGTTGTTACTCCTTGAACCAATGTCGCTAAAGACCTTCAAGGAAGCTCAACCCTGCTATTATCAAGAACTCAAAATACTCCTATTGGTAAGAAACGACATTTTTCAGTGCACACTATATACGATAAAGAAAATTCATTGTTAAGAAATCTAAGAACTGTTTAAGAGTCAATTACCCCATTCACACCTAAACGTGTTTAGTTAAGCTATGTTTTCATTAGGAAAAAATATGAGAACCTACAATATAATGAAGCTTTCTAAAATATTATCAGAGCAAGACAAAGGATAGTTTACATGCATTATTTCACCAAAGATTGTGCAGTGTTCGTAGACAGTTTCCCAAACCTGTTATGGGCTAAATGTCTGTAACGGTCGAGAACCCTCAGACAGTTGAAAAAAATCGAAATTGCTCTTACGAACTTTGCCTAAATACCCTATGTAGTGAGACATTTTTGAAATATAACTTTAAGGCCTTAGCGCCTTTTATTTTTTGAGAAATCGCTCAAAGTTGATTTTGAGATCCAGAAGGGCTTATGGGCATCCTGTGTCGAATAAGAAAATGTAAGGTTTTCTCGGCGATCGTACGGCTTCGCTTATTTTATACAAACCATTATTTTTTTCTAGCAAAGGCATATACCTTCTCTTGAATTTAGTGTAAAAATAGTTTTGCTAATGCTCGTTTTAAATAAACTACGGAATTTTGAATGGACCCTATTTTGACGTTCCCGAAAATTCGTAATTTTTCTTCATTTTCAATATGCCTAAATGGGTTGTGGTACATGCAGCAGAACTAAAAAAAATACCACTATGCTACAGCTTAACCCTTCTAAAATGACATATTATTGGCGGCCCGCTAAACGTCGTTCACTGCCGAGCCCCAAATGTGTCGGTAGTTTTCACTAATTATATACATTTAGCAAGCTAGTCACCAAGTTAGTTATGACAATGTCCGTCGCGCATGATTTGCTAAGTACAAAAGCACCATGCCAATTATTAAAAAATCTGGTTGTTTGGCTCGTGATTTTAGGACTTTACTCGTGATTCTCCCAACATAGCGCTTGCTCTATTTAACCGCCATAGTTCCTCTATTCACTAATTATTAATAACTTGAACGTAATGAACCCCTTGTCAAGAAACTATTGTCAGCGATCTGGAAGATAATAGCCGACTTAGTTTGTTTCGTTTAATTATTTTTAGATGAATAAGTTAAACAGTTTACGGATAATCAATTTAAAAAGTTTACAGATAGTCCTCGTTTTTTATTGATTATTTCTCTTAAATGAAATAACAGAGAAAAGAAAAAAGAAAGTTTGTCGTTTGACCACAAGTCCTACAATAGTAACACCTTGATGAGATATATAGTTCTACGAAGCGTTATTATTCGCTGATGCGTAGTTCTGCGGTTTCTGATTGACTATATTAATTTGTATAAGATTTGTACTTTAAATAATGCCAATCAGTATTGATTCATAGGGCACAAAAATTATTTAAGATGTTTTCTTGGTCCCAAACTTTTTCAAGATGACTTGTCTTCGCTTGATGGTAAGAAAGATATGTTTGAGTCTGAAAATAAACCGTCTTGATAATATATCGCATTTTATATACGAACTTTCCTTCAAATTTTTTTTGTTCCTAAACATCAATTTCAAAATTCTCATGATTTATCTTTGACGCTGTATTTATACGGCCTTTTCAAATACTTTGTAAAGGACGTCATTACTGTCATATGTGTACAATAACACCAGTTTCTATTCCAGGTTATTGCTCTAAAGTTATTTGTGTCAACACAACTTGCTACAATCGTCTGTCAAGGTATTTGTCTTGATTTATCATTTTTTAAGATAAGCAAAAGCTTCTTTAAATAAGGTTACTGGACATCCCAGGAACTTCAAGGAAACAAAACTTCACTATCAAATGCGTTTCTGGTGAACGGAATTCGAAAGGAATAAATGCTCTGGTTATTGAGTTTATCTGGTCAAAGTCGTTGTTTGCYCTWTAAYTTAACTTTACATTTTGTAACGAATATGAAGTTATTTAACATATATGGACATAGAAAAACAGCAAAATAATAATAATAAAATATGAAAAGGAAATTTAGTGAAGTGGATGTCAGGCTATGAAGGGTTCAACCGGTTAGGTGATTATGTAGCAGCGCTCAGCAAGAACACTGAACACCAATTACAGCGGCTGATAATAACAATTCAACATTACTACTGGTAGCCAGAAGAAACAAAGTAAGAAAGTTTCGCTTCATCATAATTGGACACAAACAATAAAGTTAACTGAATAAGTTATTATGACACTAAGACAACCTAATTAGTTTATATCTATGGAGGTGTTTCTGTTTTAATATTATTTTAATGAAGCTGTGTAATTGACACTGTATTARCAGCAAAAACTATCGTTGAGGTTACACATGATTGCAATTGCTTCGTTAATACCTAACACCGCGATTGTCTATATTATTCATTCAATATTCAATTCATTCAACGTAATGATGGGACATTTCCCCGCTTTATTTTCCAAAGTGTGAACAAGTTGTGGTTTTGTTGCTTTACGTGTCCTCTTGTGTACCGCATCCATGCTCCATTTTCCTAAGTGTGTGCATATTTTTGATTTTGTCGCTATTGTCTATCCCTGGAACCCTTCCCCGCTATATTTTTGCATTTTTGTAAGTGTGTACATGTTGTAAGACATGTTGAGATCTAGACTACATGTCGCTGGCACTGACATACACGCACTTGATACATTTTCATAAGTGCATTTAGGGATGTGACATGCAACAAAACCTTTACCAGTTTTTTTTTTTTTTTTTTTTAATAGCTGTATATTAGATGCTTCTTCCATGGCCTAAGTAGTTTTCCCTTCAAAATTCATTAAATTTTTAATCCCCGTGACTGAGACCTGGAATGATAATTATAAATACAATATTACGATAGTAATAATTTGATTCACAGAATGTGAAGACTACAAAGCCCTTGGTTTACAGAATCACCAGATCAAGGACGAAGATATTACGTCTTCATCGCATCGACAAAATCACCCAGCATACCATGCGCGCGTCAGCCATGATTATAGCTGGTGTGCGGAAACACATGACAAATATCAATGGCTTCAGGTTGATCTGCACCAAACAAGAGAACTACTTTTCATGGCCACTCAAGGGAATGGTGGAAATGCTTGGGTTAAGACGTTTTACGTTGAGTTTAGTATGGACAACATTACTTGGTATTGCTATGGGAACGAGGTTGAAGCATTCTTGGTAAGAGCACTTGATCGAAATTGGGCGCACGTCTAAATGACTTAATTTTCTAGGACCCGTGAAGATCTGGGACCGAAACTATTGAATGCTGCGGGGAGACTATCCTTTACGTCGATCGCCCAATTTTATCAAATAATAAAATACGGAAGTTCATTGGATAATTTTTTATGATTTCTAAGTCACATGGTTTTCCAGACAGAATCTTAAGATAGATTAGTAATGAACTTTCTGCAGCACACAATTATGAGGGACAGGCATAAAGTCTTTGCCAAATTGTGTTTCATAAATTAGGCCCAAAATTCTATGCGGCACAAAGTCGTCAGCAGTCCTCCCGGCTTGTTATAGAGAAGCCAATCAGTATCGACGAAATACTTTTTTCAAAATCGCACAAAACCAAATGCGACAGTAGTTTTAAGATATGACTGTTGTTTTCTATCTTGTATGTTGCAGATTGAAGGAAACAGTGATGGTAACATTCTTAGAATTAGCAACTTTATTCCAGCCATTCGTACAAGGTATATTCGTATCAACCCTTATTCCTGGGAAAACGACATTTGCTTACGATTGGAACTTTACGGATGCGCCAACAACGGAAACGACACAGGTATAGAAAATTATAATCCACTTTATGATTTAAAGGAATCTGTCGTGCAATTATTTTTATGATTCTTATGATCGACTTTGTTTGGTCTTTTCTTTTCTGCGAATGTCTTTGATGTTGGGACCCGTACATTGGATTACGCTAAATACATAATTGAAACAGTTGTTATCCCAAAAGGAACATACGGACGCCTATAAGTTTGACTATTTATGTTAACAGTTGATTGCGGACATTAAGGGCGGGACGTCCAGGTCAATTGACTACGACTTCCTTCTTATCCTTGATGGATCATCGTCTTATGTTATTGATTACAGCACGTCCAGGCTACAGCAAAGAGAAGTCTTGTGGAATCAAGAGAATATTCACGACAAAGCCTCCACCGACTACTACACCGACTACACCCCCAAGTAAGTTAAATGGTAACCTCAATAGATTAAGTTTAAAATATTCCCAATATTTGTATTAACAATATATTTGTATGCTTTCTTAAAGTCATTCCTATATCTGAGCTGCGGATAAGATCATCAAAGTACGCAAAGGTAAACCAATTCATCTTTTTCAACCTGTATCCCCACTTTGGCACATCACCAACCTACAAGTGGAACATGGGCACCGGAGATGTCATCGTAACCAACAAGAGATTCCAACAGTTTAGGTACAATTCTCCTGGTGTATACGAGATTCAGCTTATTGCACTTAATGCAGTAAGCAACAAGACTGCACATACTACTATCATTATACGGTATCCTATTGCTGGTTTATCATTTGTTGGTGATATCAATGCGGCTCTTCCTGGTCATCCTGTCAACTTTTCCTGGCAAATTTCTCAAGGTAATTTAATCAATAAATTTATGCCGAAGGCTTGGCGTTTTGTGCGCGGCCGTAAAAAATTGGAAAGTGTGTAAATTAAGGACGCTTCCATCTTTACTTTCTTTCTCTCTCTTCCTCTCGAAAACGAGAGCAGAACGAATTGTACGGTCTGCCAACGCTGTAGCACTTGCAGCAAGACCATTTTCTTAATTACTT